CAATAAACAAGCAGGGCCTCATGGTTCGTGTGCTCAACTACACGTTCGACGACTTCCCCTCGATTTGTCCGTGTCTTTTGAGGATGTGCTCGTTCCGACCGTCGTGCATGTCTCTGATTCAGAATTTCCTGTAAGTACCCTGCATGAATCCAATGTTCTCATCCTCAAATTGCCTACAGGGCGTTTATCTCGATCAACTTCCTGCGGAGCCTTTCTTGATCAAAGACAATGTCCCGCACCTTGCGCTGTCCTCCGAGTGGCGCTCTCGTACAGTCCCTCTCTTGGTATCGCTCGAAACCAAGACTGTAACAAATCTCGCCCCGTGTCCCACAGCTGGTCTCGTCCAGCCCGAAGCACTCATGTCTTACACAGTATTTCGTGCAAACAGCGTCTCCTGCATTCTTGCCACTCGCAGCTCGCTGAGTCGCCCTTCCGAACTTGTGATGTACGACGTCAAGAATACCAAGGGCTGGGTGACTTTGAACGGTAGGTCTTTGTACCCGATTGAGCCCATGTCTTAATTCGCATGAAGCCCCTCCGCCTCAAGAGTTTATGGCGCCGCTCGCTGTGGCGACAATCGCCATTCCGCAAGTCCACGCCACCGAGATCATTGTCGTATCCGCATCTCCGAAGATCAAACGCATACTTGCAGAGCTCGCAGTTGCAGGCAATTGCGTTTACGCTGGGCCGACCAGTGAGAATGACGACGACGGCAACGCAGCGATTCCTCCTGTCGTCCATATCCCGCATGGAGGACCTCATATGCACTCGAGCACGAAATTGTGGGCGCATTGGACTAGCCTGTACGTCGTCGGCCTTGCCTCGATGACCCTCATTTATTCCTTAGTGCCATCGCTGGATTTACAGTCGTGTTGATAAAGTAAGATTTGAGATCTTATCATATTGCTTTGCTAATATTTGGTCAGTTACACGGGATCGACAGGTTGGCTTGCTTTTCAGATTTGAAATCGTCCCTCAACTTGTCAGGATTTGGCCTTGAGGCGGTCGAGGCACTTTTCGGGCACGTCGGGGACGTGGATGTCAAGTCGCTGCATGCGTCTTACGAATATCTACTCCGCACCAACCTTGCGAGCGCCAATCCCGGCAAACAGTTTATCGAAGGACTCAGCCATGGAGGGTTTCTGACGCATGTTGCGATTCGCACTTGGAAGGTGTTTTTTTTTGACGATTTCCTTCAGTGCACATATGACATCCCGTTTTCCGGACTTGTATCATGGAGCGATTCTGCGGAATCCGGCCGTCGATCTCGCTGCAATGTTTCTGCATGGTTAGGACATTCCTGAGTGGGGCCCTAACGAAGGTTTGTTCGCTGAACCCGCGATCTATACCCAAATTAACTTTCTGTAGTCCGACTGTTTGAAGGGCGCGAGGCACATGCAGCGTTGCCGATCCGACTGGCCAGCGGTGCAGAGTACGAATTGCTAGCGGGCGCGTCGCCAATTCACCGCGTGGACGATGTAACGGCTCCGACGCTTGTATTACTCTCCGCCGATGATCGAAGGGTGCGACCCTCACAAGGGTTGGCTTGGTATCATGGACTCAAGCGCAATGGACGTGCTCGCGTGGCTTGTAAGATGTTTAGGGGCGAGATCCACGCGCTTGATGGGGTTGAGGCTGAATGGAAAGCGTGGCAGGAGTCGATTACGTGGTACGCAAGTATCGTCAAGTGAGACTGAAGGAAACCCGTTTATTCTTCCGTACGTACCAGAAAGATTCAATAAAGAGCGATAAGTAGTAAAGAGCGGTAGTGTAGAGAGTGTATAGTTTGACCACCTTAAGCCGTGGTGGTAGAATTGATGACGTAGGGGTCACAGACGTGGGGATCGTGAACTTGCGTAGGATCTTTGAGGAAATAACCGAGTTCGATGCCCTCGAGGTACGACCTAAGACGAGTCAGCCTAGGATTGGAAGATATTCAGAATGCTCACCACTGCCGGGAGAGATTGCCGGCCAGTTCACTCTTTTCGACCTTGAAGTTCCAGAACTGCTACGTGTTAAGGAAGTGTGGTGCATTGAAGTAAGACACGCACCATCCAACCAGCGCCCTGGCTGTAAGCGAGCTTTTGTGCATCGGCCCACATATTCAAGAACTCGTCGGTGGCATTGAACTGCGTGGGAAGACCCCATTCTGCGAAATGATGAGCCGGGTCCAAGCAAGATGGTACTCCCCACACCTCCGAATACAAGGGGGCTATTGCCCACGGCAGCGTCGTTTTGGACCCGGTTGAGGTCTGAGAAATGGGTATATTGAATCGAGTCAGGGACCGGTTAGGCTTACTGCAGATGCTCGTCATGTACGCGTCGGGGTTGGCGTCGGCGACTCCCTGTGTGGGTTGTCAGCAGTAGAACATGCGGAGAAGGATATTACTTACTCCGAAACTGCGACAAGTGATTGAGCAGCCAGACATGACAAGACACGAAGACTCACCTGTAGTACCTGCAAAAAGTCAGTTAGGGGATGGTGCAAAATAGACAAGGACGAACAAGTGGTTATCGTAGAGCTGAGATCCAATTGCGGCGGCGGCGGGATTTGGGGGGTTGTTGAATTGCCAATTAACGTCGCTGAAGCTGAAAGCAAAGTCAAAAATAAGGTAAAAGTTGTGAAAATTTGATTATACGTGGTGACGAGAGGCTCCTTCCTCAACGAAAGACCCTTGATTTCGAGTTGCAACAGGATGGGCACCGTCTCGATCAACACAGAGCGGACTTCGGCGTTGAAGATGTTGTCGTCGCTAACGTGAGGAAGCATCGCCGTAAAGTTCCCATCTGCAGGCGCCGGCATGGCACCGAACCCAGGAGTGGGGACACCCAAGAGGAATTCTGTGGCCCGTACAACCTTGACAAAGTTCATCTGGAAATCACCGTAGCCAGGAGTCTGATCGGCATTCATGATCGGCTCGTTCACCGCCTCGATCGACACTGCGGCAGCAAAGTCGGGGTCGACATGCGAGAGGGTGGTCATGACGGCCGTCCAGATCAGAGCCCGATGATAGTTGAACTCGGTCTAGTGCGAGTCGGCAACGAATCAGAGTAGTGTAGGATTATACTTACGTAGAACTCGACGTCGCTTGTGCATCTGAATACTTGTTGATAAGTGAGCAATACTCGGGGCTCGACACTTGCCTTCCCGTGAACATCTGTCCAGCCGTTTGCACGCCTGAAAAGGTTAGTGGCAGAAAATAAATCATCAGGGCTACACCAACCTGGGAGAGCATGATGATCCAGAATCGCAACAATGCCAGCCTTGTGGAGTTGTTGCAATCCGCGGCGCTGGAAGAGTATTGGTGACGGGCGAAATCAACGCAACAAAAGTCACTCACCAACTGTGCCAGTCCGCCGCGGGGATAAAATTCAGTGGTGCGATTCACAAGGGCTTCAACAATCCAATAGCCGAGGGGGATTCTGACGGTGTTGATACCTGCATGGACTAAAGCGTCGACGTCGGGTTGGTTGAACCACGAGTTCCTGAATATACATGAGTTACGACGGTCGTTAAAAGCGGTAAAAACTCACCAGTGACCGTCAAAAATCTTGTCCACCGTGTCGGGATACGCCTGAGCAAAAGCGCTGAGAATGTTTGAGACATGGAATGTTGGGAGAGGTGAAAAACTACAATTCGGTCGCAATGCAAGTCGAACAGTCGGCGCACTGTTGGCCACCCATGTCGAGCCATTCTATAGCACATCAGCGGATACTAGCTTCAAGGGCGGTCTCACCTTGAGGCAACATCCATGATTCCAGAACAAGCCTTGAAGACCAAATCAACAAGGACCCAAATGCTTCCAATAGACGAACCAAGATCCTAGATTGACGCCATAAATCTTGCTGGGCAGCCCGCCGAGGGCAGCAGCAGCAGAAAAGCAGGAGGCCGACAGTAAAAAGAGAGAAAGAGAAGACCGCATGGTCGAATGGATAAGAAAGGTCTCGGGTCAATCCCTTAAATACTTTCAGGTGTCTGAAAGTCGCGGGGATCGCTCGGTTACGGTGGCCAAGAGAATACATTCCGGAATGTTGTTGACATTCCGCTGCATTCCGTCGTTGACGCGAATTAGACGCGAAGTTTCAAGGAGTAAATAGAAAGCCTATGCGAGCCTGAGTTGAAGGTCAGCCGACACTGTGGTCCATGTGCGAGAGGCGGAATTATGGAACGCAGAGGCTCAAAGTGAGAGTCAGATGCAAGGGGCACTGAGAAGAAGCACGATCACGAGGTGACATCAGCAGCCAAATCGAGGCCAAATCGAAATAGACCGGGCCTGCCGCTGCCATCACGCCATCATGGTCTCCAGACTAAGACTCCCAAAAGACTCCAGTATCTCGAGGTCGAGACCATAATTCCTCTACTTATCGGCTTGTACAGCCCATATGTTGTCCACTGCAGCACGGCGCACCTATCTCTTGCTCTTCGAGTCTTGAACGGAGCGTCTCGGACTCTGGGACTTTCGAAGGCCGATTCAGCAGACTTGGACACCTCGATTTCTGCCTGCATTTTACTGGATTCGCTCGCTCTCACTTTCTTGATTCCTTGAAGCCTCGGGACTTGGAGCGCAGATCGAAATCCCCCTTCTCGGTACTTGGCTACTTATCTTGCATGCTAGTTGGGCTTGCTCATATTAGGGTATGCTGCCGTTCACATCCCCCTTCTGTGTTCAAAGCTCGGGAGACCACTGGGACCGCGATCCTCCTCCTTCTTCGGAGCTCCAGCAAATTAAAAGGTCCAACATACAGTGAAAACCTTGTAGCAAAACATGGCATGGGCTATCGAAACAACATTTTTCTGTGACGCCTGGGTGACGACACGGGGGACACTACACTATGCTTGGTTTCGGGGTCAGCTTCAACTCTGGTCAATTTCGCCTGTGCCTGTACTCCGTGGTGTAATGTACCTTCCTTGCAAAAACCAGGGATCTATGCGCAGAGAAACACGTGACAAATGCATCAGTAGGCTGGGCCATGAGTACTGTATACGGAGATTCAACAACTGTCCCGTGGCCCAGTTGGTTAAGGCGTGCGACTGTTACCTAATGGGTGTTCCCACGGTCACGTGATCGCAAGATCCAGAGTTCAAGTCTCTGCGGGACAGTATTTTGGGCCTTTTTACGAGTCCAGGGGTCCTATTTTACCTTGGGTTTTCACCTAGAAACACCCCCAGAGTTCAGGAATTTTTTCCAGATTTTTTGGGCAAGTGGTTGTCCTCAAGGCAATATTTTTGGTCCCGGAAGGGGTCTTTGGTAGCTTGGTTTCACTTGAAAACACCCCCCAGAACTCAGGGATTTTTTCCAGAATTTTTGGACAAGTGGTTGTCGCACTGCCCGGCGAGTGAAGAAGTAGAGCAGGCTGTTACTGCAGGAAAAAGCCACTGCATATCAAGAGAGTGTGGGCAAGGGACCTTTCTCTAACAATTCTCCAAGGTGACCCGTCGGTCTATTTTTCCTTTGTGCTCCTTTGTTACAATTCACAGACGGGTTGCCTTCAAGAAACGTCCCTTAACTGGTTACTGCACGCTTCTTTGGCTTTTGCCCGCAGTGTGTTCTGTACAGGACTCAGCGGGCACATCCCCGGGTGCATCTCGCAGTTGGCTAAGAGTCTAAGACTCGCAGAGTTGGCAACTAGAGTCAGTGGTAATAAATTTCACAGCGGGGTAGAGGCATCTAGGTAATGGTTCTTAGTACTTGTCGTAGACTGGCAACGGCAGGGTAATGAACGTCATCGTCTTCAAAAATTTCCGAATCATCGACAGATCAGCCTTTTCTTCCGACACCTCCTCGGCTTGCTCGTACTCGCTTTTGTCGTGGGGTTTCCTTGAGGTCGGAAGCTGTCGGAAGCGGGATACTTACAGCCGTAGTGAAGGGGCTGAAATGTTGAGGGCCATAAGTAGGTGTGCTGAAATGTGTGCCGTGGTGGAGGTCGGAACTTGGAATCAGCCATAGTGAGAAGCAAAGGGACAGGATGCCAAGCGTCATAGGCGTGGTTCTCAAACGGCGCGATGGTGAGCTGTAGAGCAGAGGCGTCAGAAGTGGGGTAGGCGGGCCCAGCGAGGGACGGTCGAGCTTCTTGTCAAGTTCAGTAGCTACTAGTGAGAAGCGTCATCTCGGCTAGCCTTGAAGTCGCCACAACTCGTAGATCTGTTCTTGCTGTACACCGAGAGCCTCCCTGGCGTCGGCGAGTTCCATCTCCGATTACACGGTCGGTGTTGGGTCGGTGTGATATCAACTGCTGACTCGGTCGTGGATGTGGTCAAGTTGTTCACTGCACACAGTCAGTAGACGTTGATGTATGTGTGTTGAAACCTTATTCGGACACTTCTGTGAGTTTCTCGACTTGAAACTGCACATGCAGTGAGTAGAGATGGATATACCAATATGCGGGTGTATCCGAGTCTTACGCTTTGGGTTGTAAGAGTTATTCAGAGTAGTATAGTAGTAGAAGATATATGCGTGCAACTCACCTAGTGCACCTCCGGAATGCTGACTAATGGACCTCGAAGGCCCCATTTCCTGTTGGTTTGATGGGGCCTTAGAGGTCCCCGGCGGAGGTATGTAATGGCGGCGATGGCGCAGGTCTCTATTTTGAGCTACATCCGAGCCTCCGCCAGGCGGCGGGGCACTATCGCCGTGGGCAGGAGCTCGGTTCCAGGAGCCCATACACGTCGTACGGATCTGTCTGCCGGGCAAGGAGCAAGTCGGATGCATGCGAGGGCGGTAGGCAAGCGCTGAGGGGGCGTTTTTGGCGGGCAGCACCGGCACCTGCCTGGGCCCTGCAAGCGGGGGTTGCGTTCATGCTGGAATTAGGGGGTTATTGCGCACGCTGTGTAGCACGCACTTGTTAAGTGTGGGTCACTGGCTGTATGCAGCCAGCGGGAAGGCAGAGAAGAGCCATTCCAGGCCCTGGGCGTACCTTCGCTGCCTCCGCTCTGGGGGCGGTGGTGGCTTCCAGACTGGAATTGGGACTACAACGCCAATTCTGAACGCGTACTCGTGAGGCGTGAATTATCTGCTGCATGATGGCGGCGGGAGGGTACTTGTCAGGGAGAATGTGTGGTCGCACGGGCCCTAATATAGCAACAGTCCAAGAAACTAGGTATTCCATTGGTCAGTATAAATTTCATGAGTTCTGAATAGAAGAAATATAAACTGGGTTCAAATCTGAGTCCTAATAATTTTGCACGGCAACGCTGGGCTTTTCGCACGGGCGCGAGCTTGTAGATGCATCGGAGACGTCAAAGGCAGTAAGCCATAGCTTGGAATAAGCAAGTTAAGGGCTATAGACATTAGTTCTGTACAGAAGCCCACGCACCTCCGCCGCAGCCATCAGAACCTCCGCCAGGTTATGTCTAGGGCACTTCGTCCCTGACTGGAAAATTGTCACGCGCTGACCTATTTGCGCACGTGACAACGCCAAATAAACCAGATATACATTGGCGCCGTACAGCGTTAAAGTCATGGGAACCCCGTCTCGATCGGATTGAGGAAGAAGCCGAGGAAGACATTATTTAAAGACGTGGGACAGTTTCATATTTATGAACGACAGCGTGGATGAGGGAAGGAGTTTTCGATCAAGTGAACTGTCAGATCATGACAGGCTTCTATGATGAACACGGCGTAGACATGACAATAGGAGACGACAACGGTGCAGGACAATAGTGCATGTCGGAAGCCAGGACAATTAGTGTAGCATCGTAGATCTATTCCTCACAGTATAAAAGCAGTAGCTAGTCGTCGTATTCTGTACCCTCTCCTAGACTTTTATTCAGTTCATTTTACGAGCTTTAGTAGCGCACTACCCAATCCACAGCATCTTACCGCTGTTGGACGCGTGAAACAAGTCTTGTCGTGACATAATAAAAGTCTACCCTCATACCGCTCATACCTCCCCCCGACATATCCTTTCCATACGCCTCGGCGTCCCTCCCCCACTACTTGGTCTCTCGTAATTGAAGATCCATTCATACCTCAAGCGTCACGTCGTTAAATCGCGACATTAAATAAGCGCCCATCTCGTTGTCGAACTATTTTGGCAGACAGTCGCTGTGCTACGGGAAACGTTGAGTCCGTCCCCGCACAATAGCAGACGTTGGTGTTCGGGTGGCAATCTTCGGAGAGTACCCTCACGCAAATACCGGGTGTGTTGTAGAAGGCCCGGGTTTGTTCTGTCGGCAAGCGCTACGACCGAGAAATTCACCACCGGCTTCGTGCCGCTCCTACCCAGGACAATTAGTGTAGCATCGTAGATCTATTCCTCACAGTATAAAAGCAGTAGCTAGTCGTCGTATTCTGTACCCTCTCCTAGACTTTTATTCAGTTCATTTTACGAGCTTTAGTAGCGCACTACCCAATCCACAGCATCTTACCGCTGTTGGACGTGTGAAACAAGTCTTGTCGTGACAAAAATCCAACAAAATCTGGAGGCATCCATGGTATCTTTTGAGCTCGCTTCGCAAGTTTGGACCGTCAATGAGTGAGAGGGACAGAGGCGAAGCGAGCGCAGATGGATCCATGGCAGAAGTGGCGGAGGTGGCGGAGTGGCGGAGGTGAGTGCTTGATTCAAGTTGGTTGATCTCCCATAATTCCCCTGCCCAGCTCCATGGTCTTCGAGTATAACAAGAATCATCAATTGTCTGTACTCATCGTCTGTCCGGTATTTGGATGTCGGGGAAGCGTTCTACATGCCCGTTATTTCCCACACAATCAATCTCGGTGATTTCAACATCTTACATGCGTGTCGATGGCAACTTCGCCGAATCTTTGCTTATCAGACCCTGAAGATCTTGTATACGAGGGCGAGAGCAAAAAATCCCACAGCTCCTCATCACCTCCCAATGTTTTCAAACATTCCGGAGGTTTGTATACTCATTCAACCAAGTTGAACATGGATGTTTTCTCGCAGCCTAGGAAATGTTTGAACTGCAGGAAACAGTCGAATTGTATCTGAGATCGAATAAAGGAACACCCAAAATATTCCAGTCTTGAATGAAACAAGTACATTACTTGAACAGCAATTCCTACCAAGAACTAGTGTACTGTCCGGTTCAAACTGTGCATTTCAGGGGCCCGTAGAGATCAACACTCGTAATTGATTTGGTGACCCCGGGCGGCCTCCCTGATGTTATCGCAAGCTGGTCCGAGCCCGAATGGCCTTGAAAAGACTCTTATCGAGTGGAATCACGGTGATCCTCGTTTTATTCAGTTGCTGATTGGCTGATCAAAATTGCATCATGGATCTGCAAGAAGTTCCGAGGCTGTGTTTGACAGCTCCGCCTCCTTCTCACCACCACCGCCGCTGGCGCCAACGTCCGACCACAGTTAACTAGCTGCATGCACGGTTGTGTGGAGCTCACACTCGGCGCCATCAATCAGAAAGTGGACTCTATCAAGGACCGTAAGTACTCCTAGAGTACAGACTGTACAGTCATTGATTCACGGCACCTCCGCCCGACCTCCGCCACTCGCCAACCTCAGCGCGGTCACCTTCGCCTCCGTCCTGGTGTCAGTTCGACTCTGTCGCCTAACGCTGCGCTCTGCACACCACTCAAATCTCTGGTATGCCAATAGCCCGGTCCTGCCAGTATTCAGTATGCATGTAGCGCCAGATAATGACGATGTAGCTAGGCGGCGGTGGCGGCGGAGGTCCAGTGGTTGCGGAGGTATGTTCGCCGCCCACAACCGAGGATTTCCAGCTCAAGCTGAGATTCTAAGACGTTGGTGGCTGCTGCAGGTACTTTCAGCCTAGCTTGTACAACTCCAAGGTATAGCGAGTGGCCTAAATAAATTTGAATACTCGCTCACATTTATCTTATTCAGGAACTACTTAGATAGTCAATGACTGGTCTCCACTAATGCTACACACCAATCCATAATTTTTGCTCGATGCAGACCCACGCGGGCTGCCATGGGGACGATTTCTTTTACTCAAACCACCCTCCCGGTGCCACCTATGCCGCCAATGACCCACGCCTCACGAGTACACGCACACGGTGGGAATACTAACCCGAATTCCAGCTTGCAAGCTTCCTCCACTCACGAGCGGAGGTTCCAATGCCGGAGGCTGAAACCGCTCTCCTGCCACCTTCCTGCTGCCACCAAT